CCCTAAACCCTAAACCCTTGCAAGTTGTAGAATCGATGAAGCCCTGAACACTAAAGCAGCCTCGGCCGGCCCCGTGCCTTTGCAAACGAACCCATGCAAGGGTTTGGGGTTTACGGTTTACAATTTCAGGTTTGGGGTTCAGGGTTTCGGGTTTGATGTTTCGGGTTTAGGGCTTCGGGTTTAGGGTTGCGGGTTAAGGGTTTAGGGGTTAGGGTTCAGGGTTTCGGGTTTAGAAAGTTGCAGTTCGCCCCGGGCCACACTGCTCAACTCTTTCTGCGCCGCTTAGCGCACTTGGGGGGAAGGGAACGCCAGGTGGAAGGTCCAAGGATCATGTAGGGGCCTTCGTGATGATTCGACTGTGATTTCAGATGGCCCCACAACAAGTACGATCCACAGCCTGTAAGGGTTTAGGGTTTAGGGTGTTGATTTCAATGTGCCCACTTAAAGTCTCAGGCAAAACCACCTCGCTGTTGGCTGTTCCTCCACTTTGGGTCTGGCATTCCGTGAAACATCCCCTCATGGTCCCTCTTTCAATCTGGAGCAGATTTGTTGCTACTCCGGGCGTACTTCGATTCATTAATAGGAAGGCTTCCGTAAGCTGTAGCTACCTCGTAAAAATTATGTACTGTCCTTCGTCGGAAACGGCGCTGTAAGCACTGGATGAGACTTGAAAAGACAAAAACGTGCTAGCTGACGGGCTTGGGTCTGTAAAAGGCTTGGGAAATATTATGCTATACGTCGATGAGTATGTAGGGACTGCAAAAAGGAAATTATCACTAATTTGTCCGACCGTTTATTTGGAGTGTTGGCAGTTGCATTTCAAAAATCGATTTTGTGAGTTTCTTGGGTTCACGCTTTCTTGGGACGGGTCCTAAAGGCCTGTGCCTTCTGCAGACTGAGCATACCTAGGACCTGGGGCCTAGACACTAATCCATTGTCGTTCTTCCATTTGCTGAGTCTGGTCATTCCGGGCCGGTTGTCGAACAAAGAACCTAAACCCTAAACCCCAAACCCTAAACACCTAAACCCCTAAACCCTAAACCCCTAAACCCCTAAACACCTAAAAACCTAAACCCACACCCCTAAACGCCCAAACACGTTAACCCCCAAACCCCGGCTCCGGTCCCGAGACTCTGCTTCAACTTGGGAGGTGTTGTGGGCGTTGGAGCATACACAGGAAAAAAGGGGCGTAGCAGGCCTTTGCTGGAGTTTGGGGCAAGTCGGGCTGTGTAGCTCAAACGACTCACTCGCTCTCTCTCTCTCTCTCTTTTTGTTTCTCTCTCTCTCTCTCTCTCATTACGAGTACTACTGCTGCTAGCTACAAAACCTGCTACGATTTCGTGTTATTTGCACTCATCGTACCCCAACCCCCAAACCTTGGACCCCAAACCCTAAATCCAATCCCCAAACCCCAAACCTTGGACCCCAAACCATACACACCCTAAACCCTAAACCCCAATCCCCAAACCCCAAACCATGCACCCTAAACCCTACCTTATTTTGGGGGTCCTTATATTAAGGATCCTATTATTTAGGGTACTATATTAGGGTCCACTCCAGAGAGACATCTCGGATGAACGGAGATCCGAAGGATCAAGTCGCTTGCAGATCTGCCTGTGCCTTCCCTTCTCTGCTGTTTCTGCACTTGACAGGACCTTTCCGCTTCTTGGGTTTAGGGCTTAGGAGTCCTAGAGTTCTCTGTTAAAGGAGTTGCGAAAAGGTGTGGGGCTGAAGCTTTACAGATGTATGTCTTCGTCGGCTCAGGCAAGGCGACAGATAGGTAGTTGTCAAAATTAGGGTCCCTTTTGGGGTACCCTAAATAATAGGTGCCGTATTATAATAAGGACCCAAAAAGGGACCATAATTTTGACAACCACCCAGATCTTAGAGAGTACATGCTGGAACTGGGTGTCCGCCCGGCGCGCGAGTCAGCTTGCCTGGCACTGCAGGCCGCCAAGGCTCCTACTCGCAGGCTACTCAGTACTGCAACGGAATAAATGCTAAGTATATTCGAACCCTAACCCTCCAGGTACCTACTTTCGAGGGCACTAGAGCCCCTAGGGCCCTATATAGTAGGTACCTGAAGGGCTACGGTAAAATACTCAAACGAATACCCAGAACAGCCTCACACGAACCCCAAGTAACACCGAAAGCCCTGACTTCCCAAACCCTAAACCCTTAGGGTTTAGGGTTTAGGGTTTAGGGTTTAGGGTTTGCAGACCACGAAGGCTTCATGGGGCCAGGAGGTCGAGTTGAAGGGTTCAGTGCAACAGAGGTCGGATTGAGCCGATTTAATATAGGGACTTTAACAATTAGAATAGGGTTTTGGGGAATATTATACTATAGTTACAATGAGGAGCCACCAGAATAGTATAGGTATGTTCAGGCCCCTATATATAGGTCACCAAAATCACGCTTCGGGGTAAGGGCTAGCTGACGATGATGAAGACACCCTATTGCCAGCAACCCTAAACCCTAAACAAAAAATCCGAATGTGCCCGTGCCTCGGCCTCAAGTTACGACTACGCAAATAGCAGGTTAGCGGGCGCAGTCCATGAAGCCCAGTTAGGGTTTAGGGTTCAGGGTTTAGGGTTAGGGTTTAGGGTTTAGGGTTTAGGGGTTAGGGTTTAGGGTTAGGGTTTAGGGTTTAGGGTTTAGGAGTTACCCAATGATTTGGGGCATGGATGACTAGCAACAGGGGTTTGAGGTATGTTCTATAGAGATCAAGAAGCAGGGAATAATATGTCGACTCGTTCCGACCCCCTTATCAGTTGCCTGAACCCTTTTGATCTGATAAGCCTCGTAACATCCATGACTTCGTAAATCTACCATATCTACCATATAGTAGAAGCATGATTATCCTCATGCCCATAAGGTAAAGTATTAGGGATTAGGGCTCCTGAAAATAGTTCTACTGTAATTTACCGCGAGACCCTAGAGCCTAAAGCCTGAAAACTTACACCAGAACCCCCCCAAAAAAAACTATAGAAGCCTGAAGGACAGCGTTATAGAAACCCTTCTTGGCACCCCTATAGATCCCTTAAAAAGAAACCATCGATCCCTTATTGATATACCTGAAGGGAAATCCATAACTCAACCAAACACCTCGGTCGCGACCATCTGCTTTCCGTTGGCTACCTTTAAGCCAGGAGGTTCTAGCATTTAGGGCTAAGTTCGGGGTTTTAGGGTTTAGTTTAGGGCGTCTCGGGCTTAGGGCTAAGGGTCTAGGGCTCAGGGCTCATAGAGCATTGTGTTAAGTAAGGTGCTTGGTTTTAGGGTTCAGGGTCTGGGGGTGTTGAGCAACTTTGTCGCAGTGCAAAATAGGCCCCATAGTAGTTCCTTTTGGGGGATTCTAAATATAAGCCACAAAAAGGAACTACTATGGGGCCTATGGGTAGTTCCCTAAACCCCAACTAAACCCTAGGGCAGCTGAAAGCTTGAATCGAGCTTTTGGGCCCCATCTTCTTCTACAACCGGCAATAGAGATATAGGACATCAGAGTATCTTCCCATTTCTTATTCATATCTCTACATTAATGGCAGTCAGATTTTCTGGTAGCTAAACATGCAGATCTCTATCTTCTGCAAGTGGGCTTCAACTCCACGCCGCTTCGACATGCATGTTGTGCGGGGTCTAATTCAGTGCTCTTGAGGCGGTATAGCTGAAACCCTCAACCCTAAGCCTACAAACCCCAAACGCCATCTAGAACCTGATACCCGACGGGAAACACCCCCCAAAGAAACGGCGTAGGAACCCTCGCAGACTTATCGTGGCTTCGATGGAAGGGCCTCCCACGAAAAGGCATGTCGGATGATATAAACATTGGCAACTACCACTCAGCCTGTATAGCTCCTTCATAGACCACATAACCCTAAACCCTAAACCGTCCTTGTACCATAAACCATAAACCCTAAACCCCTAAAACCTAAACCCTAAACTCCTAAACCCCTAAACCCCAAACCCCAGGCCCTAAACCCTAAGCCCTAAACCCTAAACCCCAGAACCCTTGTAGAAGCCCTATACCAACCCGAAAGCTGGCCTCTTGGACCGGCCTAGTAATCAGAGACACCCCCAAAAGCTGTTCTACGGTAAAACTATCCACAGGCCAAGGGTTTAGGGTTTAGGGTTTAGGGTTTAGGGTTTAGGGTTTAGGGTTTAGGGTTTAGGGTTTAGGGTTTCTTAATCAGGTTTCTACATAAGTCGTATACCGGCAGGTAGGGTTTAGGGTGTAGGCTCTCATTATCTTGTGTGTTAGAGTTTGCACTGCTCCTGCGCACTGTGCATAGAAGCCCCCTAAACTGTTCTACCCATAGGCTCCATCGTAGTTCCTTTTTGTGGCTTATATTTAGGATCCATTAATTAGGTAATCCCAAAAGTTTAGGGTTTAGGGTTTAGGGTTTAGGGTTTAGGGTTTAGGGTTTCTTAATCAGGTTTCTACATAAGTCGTATACCGGCAGGTAGGGTTTAGGGTGTAGGCTCTCATTATCTTGTGTGTTAGAGTTTGC